ACCCACGCCCAGGAAGGAGCAGGACATTCTGGAAACACCCGCCATCACTGCTCAGGAAGCCAGGCTTCTGGGACACTCCTCACATCACTCTATCCCTGGGGCNGTTTATAAATGAAGGCGGCTTTCCATCACCCACGCCCAGGAAGGAGCAGGACATTCTGGAAACACCCGCCATCACCGCTCAGGAAGCCAGGCTTCTGGGACACTCCTCACATCACTCTATCCCTGGGGCCCCCATCAATCCATCCTCTGGGCCCTTCTGGTCTAGAAAGTTCTATCAGGAGGAATCTGAATTTTTGGAGACTGCGGAGGACGGCTCACCCTGGTGTGGGTCCAAGCAGCCCTAGGTGGGGCCGGACGGTGTACATTCAACGGCGAGGGCTCAGCAATGGGCAGTGACCTGGGTCTGTGCCCATGGGGCTCTCATCCACCAGGTGGCTGAGACACCCCTCCTCAGTTTCCCCATCTAGACAATGGGGGTAATCTCTGCCTACCTACCCCGAGTCAGGGGAAGCCTTGAATCAGGAGACACAGGAAAAAGCCCTTTCTGCCTTAAAAAATAGCGTTTGCAAAGATAAATGTACAGTTCTTCCCAGAAAGCACCGTTTCAGACCACAGAACCAGCATTCAGCAAAGTGGACTTTGCTCCCACGGGCAGTGCCATCCGACCCATCAGCTGACCATGGCCGTGGGGACTCTCACCCCACTATGGGACAGAGGAAGGCCCTCTGGATTCCATCCATATGGTTGCCTCAGACCAGAGACCTCACTGCACGTGGCCTGGACCCTGGGCCTGCACAGAGGCAGATGGACTGTAGAAGGTGGACGAGAGGGAGTCAGGTGGGGGTTCTGAAGCTGCCCAGACCAGCCAAGGAGGACTAGCCCCCACCAAGGTCCTGGACACCGAGAGTACAGAGCCAGGCCTGAAACAGTCGGTTGTGTGTTCTGGACATTACACCAACAGGCTGCCCAGAGAATTGGCACTTGACTGGTGGCATGGGGCACAACATGGGGTCACCCACTGGCCACCTTCACTGTGTGGACACAGTGCTATAAGCATGTGGAGAGGAGGTTCTGGGGGACTCATTGCCCATGGCAAGGCACACTGCCTGTCTCATCCTCTGTAGGTGTGAGCTTGTTCTAACAGCTGAGGAGCAAAGACCTTGAGGCCCGACGGGTGTCCCCACGGCCCACGAAGCATGTCCACATTCCTCACCTGCCCAGGCCAGATGGTGCTTCACCCATGTGGGAACATCACCCATCTGGGGGCATCACCCATCTGGGGGTGTCACCCATCTAGGAGCCATTACCCATCTGGGGGGCATCACCCATGTGGGAACATCACACATCTGGGGGCATCACTCACCTGGGGGCATCACCCATCTGAGGGCATCACCCATGTGGGAACATCACACACCTGGGGGCATCACCCATCTGGGGGCATCACCCATGTGGGAGCATGACCCATCTGGAGGCATGACCCATCTGGAGGCATCACCCATCTGGGGGCATCACCTATCTGGGAGCATCACCCACCTGGGAGTGTCACCCATCTAGGAGCCATTACCCATCTGGGGGGCATCACCCATGTGGGAACATCACACATCTGGGGGCATCACCCACCTGAGGGCATCACCCATGTGGGAGCATCACCCATCTGGGGGCATCACCCATGTGGGAGCATCACCCATCTGGGGGCATCACCCATGTGGCAGCATCACACACCTGGGGGCATCACCCATCTGGGGGCATCACCCATGTGGGAGCATCACCCATCTGGGGGCATCACCCATGTGGGAGCATCACCCATCTGGTGGCATCACCTATCTGGGAGCATCACCGATCTGGGGGTGTCACCCATCTAGGAGCCATTACCCATCTGGGGGGCATCACCCATGTGGGAGCATCACACATCTGGGGGCATCACCCACCTGGGGGCATCACCCATCTAGGGGTGTCACCCGTGGGGAGCATCACCAGTCTCAGGGACATCACCACCGAGGCGCTCCTGTGGAGACCATAGTGGGAAGTGGTATGCTCTGCTCTCCCCTCCTTGCCCCTGTAACCCGCTCACCCTCCACTCACAAAGGCCCTGGGCTGTTGCTCCGCTGGGCTTCCTGGGCGTGACTCTGTCTGTGGGGCCTGGCCCCTGGCTGGAGCAAGCTGGTAGCCCCCCACGAGATCCTAGAGAGGGTCCCACAGCTGGGGGAGGGGGGGAACGTGCCCTGGGGGTCCTGGCGCGACCCAGGCCCTGACTGTGGCCGCGGGGCTGCGGGAGGCCGCCTCCACACCTGCTGCCTGAAGAGGGTGGGAAGAGAGGGGAAGGAGGACAGCTAAGGAGAAAACAGGAGCATCAAGCTCAGCTGGTAAAGAAACCGCCTGCAGTGCAGGAGACCCCCGTTCAATTCCTGGGTCAGGGAGACCCCCTGGAGAAAGGACAGGCTTCCCACTCCAGTATTCTTGGGCTTCCCTGGTATCTCAGCTGGTAAAGAATCTGCCTGCAATGCGGGAGACCTGGGTTTGATCCCTGGACTGGGAAGATCCCCTGCAGAAGGGAAAGGCTACGCACTCCAGTATTCTGGCCTGGAGAATTCCATGGACTGTGTGATCCATTGGGTCACAGAGAGTTGGACACGACTGAGCAAAATCACTTCCCTAGAAAGAGGTGCTGCCCTGCCCTGAGCTGTGGTGAGGACGTCCGCGGGGTGGAGGGGGCGCTGTTGCTCCACGGAGGGGAGGGAGGGGGAGGGGAGGGAGACGAAGGGGAGGCCTCCCCCTCCCCCCGCCCCACACCATCAGCACGGCCTGGGCAACAGGCCCTTCCTGGCTGCGGACGCCAGCCGTTTCCTCCCAGCTTCCACCCACTCTATGGTTGGGTTTTAACCCCGACGACCGGCCTGGTGGCAACTTCCTCTTGCCTCACATTTACTTTTGAAGGCTTCTGGTGACTCAGGGGTCGGGGAGGCACAGAAGTCCGTTCAGAGGGTCCCCCCGGGGGGCTCCCATCAGGGGCCCGGGGCCCCTCAGAGGCCTGAGACCAGGGAGTGACTCGCCTGGCCTCCGGGCACCAAGGTGCACAGGACACTGTAGCCCGCACCCTGGGGCGAGTGACCCGTGCTTCCCTGAAGCAACCACCCAGCATGCGTGCGGGGCTCCTATCACCACCCTGCCCTTCATGGGGACAGCCCTGTCCCCAAGCCTCCTGTCCCCAAGTCTCCTAGCCCCTCTCCAGGGCCTTGACTCCCCGCTGGAGACCTTGGCCGCCAGGACAGGGTCACGAGGTGGTGGGGTGGATCTGTTCAAACCTGCAGGAGCCCTGCTACCTGCCCTGCCCCCCCCCCCACCCCGGTCCGACTGGATCTTGACCTCTCGCTCACCTCTTACGGATGCTGGATGCCAGGCGCAGTTGAAGGGTGGGGGTGGGGTTTGCATCCTCCGGCCGAGTGTGTCCCTATAGCACCCCCTTCGTGACCCTGGAGGTGGGGAATTCTGGTGCTTCCACCAGGCAGCCTCCCTTGTGGTCCCTGCAGTGCTGTGGGGAAGGCCCGCTCCCCCAAGGCTGCTCTCAGACTTCACATGAATGACACCCGCGCCCTGGGGAGGGGTCAGCAAGGCCCCTGGGGGAGCGAGAGGAAGAGACAGCAGCACCCAGCTGCCTGTCTTATCTCTTCTCTACAAGTGGGGGACTGCAGGGCCCTGAGCCCCAAACTTCCTTCCTTACTCCCTGGCAGACAGTCCCTCAGGGCAGCTGTGCTGTCTGCCCGGCTCCCGGAAACCCTGCAGGGATGGGGCAGGGGCCCGCCTGGGCCCTGGGGGTGGGGGTGTTGACACTGCCGAGGCCGGTCCACCTCGTGTGTTCAGAACCACTCAGCTGGGCCCCTGCCACCCAGACTCACGTTCCTGGTTTTGCACAATATGGTTCGATTTCTTCTCCAAACCCGCAAGAACCTAAGAGCTGTTATCTCTACAGATAAAACAGACTTGAAGAGGCCATGGCAGGTAACAGCCTCGCTTGAGGAGCTGAGGCCCTTTGTTTGACTTGGAAGCTGGGTGCCTGCAGCAGACCCCAAGGCAAGAGAGAGAATTGCCCACAGCAGGGCTGGTGAGACTCGGGGCAGGAGAAACCACTCAAGTCAGTCCACAAGCTTCAGAAAGTAGGTATGGGGAGACACTGGAAGGGACGCTGCAGCAGTCACCGAGATGCATGGTTTCCAAAGTTCTCCCAAACTTCTTACGGTTACACAATTTCTGCACGTCATAAACTATAAAACATTTCGGCTGATATTAGACCAGTGTGATCAGTGCCAGCTCCGGGAAAGATCTAGAATGTTCTCTGGGGCAGCAGTGGGTGTGGCCTCACCCCAAGCCCACCCCCAGCAGGCCCCAGGGTGAGGCCTTCACACCTGTCCTCAGAAGCGGGGCCTCAGGTCCTTCCTGTGTCTCTGTCGACACACACACTCGGCTTCCCCAGTGGCTCAGCTGGTAAAGAACCTGTCTGCCAATGCAGGAGACACAAGGGACGCGGGTTGGATCCCTGGGTCAGGAAGATCCCCTGGAGAGGAAATGGCAACTTGCTCCAGTATCCTTGCCTGGAAAATCCGATGGACAGAGGGCCTGGTGGGCTACAATCTGAATACACGCACACACACAAATGTATGTGTAGTTATTGTTCTGTGCTTCCCCAGAGTAAAAACGAAATATCTTTTGTCAATATGTATGTGACTAAACCGTGAAGAGGTATTTATATGACAGCTCGCAAGTCAGATAGATCCATGGATTTGAAACATTTAAACAAACAGCACCAATTTGTAGAAAGTGGTTAGTGAGGGGGAGGTGAAGAGGCTGGTGGATCCCATGCGAAGACTGGAAACACCGGAAACATGTTTCAGGGAAATTCGTCTTGGGTTATGCACTCTTTTTCAGACTTCTTAAACTCGACCTGAGAACTGTAAGCAAATAAAAGTCCTCACAAACCAGGGAGGTAAATCCTCCAGCCGAGAGGCTCCAGGGGGAGGGGAGAGGGAGTGACTCACCCAGAGCTGGGAGAGACGCCCCCCACCAGGCTCCTCCTCCACCCTCTCCTCCCTCCACCCCTCCCTCCCTCCTGGGCTGAAACTCCAGAACGAGAGCAGACAGGACTTCTCTCTGCCCGGCCAGCATCACGGTCACTACAGCCCACCCTGCCCCCGGCCCCTGCTCCATGGTGACACGACCGCCGGTGACATGAGGCTGCCCCGCGCTCTGCTCCCCCTGCTGCTGCAGGCCTGCTGGGCCTCTGCGCAGGACGACCCCCTGGCATCGAGGGCCATCGCCTTCCAAGGTGAGTGGACTTGCCGTGTCTGTTGGGCGAGGCCGGACTGGACCAGACGCATCCGGCGTGAGGTCCAGGGGACCCCGGCCCCTGCCTTGATGCTCAAGCGCTTAGATGCGGCCCAGCTGGCGGGGGACCCTGGGGAGGAGGACGGGCCTCACCGGGTCTCAGCCCCTGTGCCCCTTGAGTGTCTGCACCCCCTCTGCCTCCATCATCGGCTCCTTCTGATTCCTTCCTGGTGGTCAGTCAGGAAACGTGGTCACCTGCTCCTACCCACCCTCTCCTGAAGGTCAAGCCCCTCCCTGGCAGTTTTAAATTCAACTTCTCCTTGCTCTTTCGGGAGTGTTGGGCCTGACTGGATATAAGGGGGTGACTGGCTGGGGCAGTGGCCAGTGGGGCTGGTGGGGGCTCACCTGGGGAAGGGGGAGTGCCGGGCTGAGCCTCTCCTCCTGTCTGTGACCCAGACTGCCCTGTGGACCTGTTCTTTGTGCTGGATACCTCCGAGAGCGTGGCCTTGAGGCTGAAGCCCTATGGGGCCCTGGTGGACAAGGTTAAGTCCTTCACCAAGCGCTTCATTGACAACCTGAAGGACAGGTAGGACCTTGTCCTCCTCCCCCCATCCACCATGCTCTTGGAGGGCGGGGGAGACTGGCTGGTGTCTCCCCTACCTCAGCCAGCAGGCAGAGCTGGGCCTCAGTGTCCCCATTCTGAGAAGGGCGGTATTGGCCAGGCCACTTGAGTGCCTTCCCCTGGGGCTGTGTGATTCAGGTGGGCTAGAAAAGGACTGAGTCGAAATGGAGCCGGCTGTTCAGCCAGGAGGCCAAGGGGGACAGTGCTATAGCTTGGGCTCCCCAAAGGCAGTGTTGAACAGCTCCCCTCCCCCACCCTGAGCAGGCTTGGGACGCTGGCCTGAGGCCCTGTGGGTCCGCCTGGTACCTAGAGGGGGCGCCCCTCACCAGCCCCCTGGACACTGACCACTGCCCAAGTAGACGGTCACAGCCCAAGTCCCAGACCCGAGATCTCAGTGTCCCCCGTGTCCAGTGTCCTAGTCAGAGCGGCCCCAGCCTGGTGTTGGCTTTGGGGGCAACATGCTCCATCCATCCATTCATCCCTCCACTCGCTCACTCACACATGGGGGAGCCCCTGGCGGCGGGTGTGGCCGAGGACGGGACACGCCCGCAAGGAGGCGGGGCCGGACCAGGGGGCGGGCTAAGCTCAGAACCAGGCTCCACCCCATCTCCCTCACCTTCACAGGCCCCACCCCTCCTCCCGCTCTGACCCACTGACCTGCTGGGGGCTGACAGGCCCCCAGCCTCCCACCCACCAGAAAGGCTGCAGGGAAGGAGGACCGTCTGCCCAATGCAGGGCACTGTGGGACCGAAACCCCAGACCTCCTGAAATGCCCGGGTTCATGAAGGCCAGGGAGGGCCCAGGTGTGGACAAGTTTCGTGGAGCGTGCACGGGGCAGCCAGGTGACCCAGCATCCCACTCTGGGGGGCTTTGACCCCGTACCTCATTCACTCCAATTGTGAACTGGGGGCTCTTCCTGCCTTTGGGGCTGTTGGCGCCCCACGGAGGCCTCTGTCACCTGTCGGCTGACGGGCTGGAGGGGCCTGGCTACCCCCTGAGATCCTGGGCCAAAGTGACCGGGGCAAAGAGAAGAAGCCACTCAGATCCAGGGGTCCTATCCCCTCCCTCCCCCTGTCTCCTGTCCCCTGTCACTGGCTCCACTGCTATCTATGCAGGGTCTGTCCCCGACTCCGTGGCCCTGGAATAGGGTCTCGGCTCACGGCTCCTCATCTGAGGCCCTGGAGATCAGGGGACATGGTGGTCACTGGCTGGCTGGGCCCGCCCTCCTGGCCACCACCATCTCCCCACCATGTGCCAGTGTCTCAGGGCTGCTTATGGGACCAAGGGCTCCTCCCTCTCGGCGTGAGAGGGGACCGGCCGTCTGTCCACCTGTGACCCCGCTGAGCAGGGGAGGGGAGCGGGCCGGGGTGTGGGGAGGCCCGCTCACCATCCCGGGCCCGCAGGTACTACCGCTGTGACCGCAACCTGGTGTGGAATGCGGGCGCGCTGCACTATAGCGACGAGGTGGAGATCATCCGCGGGCTCACGCGCATGCCCAGCGGCCGCGACGCGCTCAAGAGCAGCGTGGACGCCGTCAAGTACTTCGGGAAGGGCACCTACACGGACTGCGCCATCAAGAAGGGTCTGGAGGAGCTGCTCGTGGGGTGAGTGCCTGCCGCCCTGTGGCGCCCTCCCCCGCTTAGCTCTCCCTGGGGAGGCCCAGCGCTGCCTGGTTGCTGCCCGCTGGCCGGCTGGACTTTGGTGCCTGAGGTCCCCAGAGCAGACCTAGAGCCCGAGGGGGTAGTGCTGGCGACCACCGCCCAGCCTACCCCCTCGCCCAGCCTACCCCCTCGTTCTCTACCACTCTGTCCCTTCCTCTAGCTATCCACTGTCTCCTCAACCACGGAAGGCAGAGGGGACCTGAAATGTGATTCCACAGAACTTTATTTTGTTTTAATATCCTTTTCTATGTTGTTGTTCAGTTGCTCAGTAGTGTCCCACTCTACAACCCCATGGACTGCAGCACTACCAATCTCCTCTGTCCTTCACCATCTCCTGGAGCTTGCTCAAACTCATGTTCATTGAGTCAGTGGTGCCATCCAACCATCTCATCCTCTGTCAACCCCTTCTATTCCTGCCCTCAACCTTTCCCAGGATCAGGGTCTTTTCCAGTGAGTCAGCTCTTCACATGAGGTGGCTAAAATATGGGAGCTTCAGCTTCAACATCAGTCCTTCCAATAAATATTCAGGACTGATTTCCTTTAGGATAGACTGGTTTGATCTTGCAGTCCAAGGGACTCTCAAGAGTCTTCTCCAACACTACAGTTCAAAAGTATCAACTCTTTGGTGCTCACCTTTTTTATGGTCCAACTCTAACCGTTTTCTGTAAGCCCACCTTATGGCCGGATCAACACAGGGAAACTGAAAACACTGCTCTGAGAGCCACCCTTGGGTCTGCATCTCCCTCTGGGGTCTCTAGCCCCCTGCCCCTCACCTCCAGTCTAGGGGTCTCAGCGATGTGGTCCCAGTGGGGCCCTGAGCTGTCGGGATCCGCGATGGCCTGAGGAGGCTGGGCCAGGTGGTCTCACCTCCTCCACACCCTGCAGGGGCTCCCACCTGAAGGAGAACAAATACCTGATCGTGGTGACTGATGGGCACCCTCTGGAGGGCTACAAGGAACCCTGCGGGGGCCTGGAGGATGCCGTGAATGAGGCCAAGCATCTGGGCATCAAAGTCTTCTCCGTGGCCATCACACCAGACCACCTGGTGGGGCACCCCCCAGGGCCTGAAGTGGAGGGAGGGGGTACCCAGGGACTATCATGGGAGAGGGGTACAGACATAGCCTGAGGGACTGGGGCTCCAGGGGAGTAGAGGAGGGGAGAGCCTGGCGCTCCCACTGTTGCTGACGTTCACCCTCGCTCTGGTTGCATCCACGGCAGGAGCCACGTCTGAGCATCATCGCCACGGACCACACGTACCGGCGCAACTTCACGGCGGCCGACTGGGGGCAGAGCCGCGACGCCGAGGAAGTCATCAGCCAGACCATTGACACCATCACGGACATGATTGTGAGTGCCGCCTGCAGGCCCAGCACCCCGCTGAGTCCAGGTGCTGGAAACCCTGTGCCCAGGAATGAAAGCTAATTTGACTTTTCTCTCTCACTTTTCAGAAAAATAATGTGGAGCAAGTGGTAAGCCCCTCCCCGCCCCCCATGTCCCCCACCCTGGCATCACCATCGCCCACTCCTCCACCAGCAGTCTGAGCGCGGGCGGCCGGCGTGGCTGTGCCCACGCTTCCTGACATGTCCCTCTGTCCTCTTCCCATCCCACAGTGCTGCTCCTTCGAGTGCCAGGTGAGTGTGGCCCTTGCCCACCCCCACCCCTGGGCCACCCCAATGGTGCCCCCACTGACTGTTCTTTTTGTGTCTTGCAGCCCGCCAGAGGACCCCCCGGGCCTCGAGGCGACCCCGGGTACGAGGTAAGTGGCCACATCCTGCCGGTGCTTACCTTGATGGAGGGGGAGACCTGGGAGAAATATCCTGCAGGCTGCCGCCAGGTCTAGGGGTGCAGCTGGACCCCAGGCAGCTGCCCTCAGCACCCACCGCCCAGATGCTCTTCTGAGCAGGTGTCCCAGCCATGGGAGAGGGTCTGGGCGTGGTGACCCCGCAGCCGATGTGGTGGCCATGGCTGCCGTGGGGTGGGGTCTGCTGCCCCATCCTTCTTCCTGTGGTAGAGGGCATGGCCTTCCTGGAGTGAGTGTCCCTGTGGCTCTGCTCCTGGAGGTGGGCCTGCCGTGGGATGGATGCAAACATGGGCCCAAGGCCAGACTGGAAAACAAAATTCGTTGCTAGTATTCACAACCCGGGAGCTCACTCATGAAATTCTAGATTTCTGGCTTTTCCTGGAAAGTGTCAAGTACAGTGGCCATGGAGCCATGTAGCCACCTTCCACAGGGGGCTTCCAGGCTGCATCCACCTTGCACTCCCACCTGCCCCTGGGGGCCCAGCATGGCAGCAAGAACAGGCAAAGAGAAAAGAGTCAGGGTTAATTGGGCTGGCACGGGCAGCCCCAGGGCTTGGGGTGGGGTGTGTGGGAGAGACCCTGGGGCATTGGGAAAGGTTCCTGGAAACCATGTAGACAATGGAGATGGGATGGAATAACTTCATAGACCTTGTTTTGTTAGCAAATAAGGGCTTCCTTTTATCAGCGTTTTAGAAATAAATGGAATTTGTCCTCTGACCATGATCTGCTCTCTGTTCTAGGGAGAACGAGGGAAGCCGGGGCTCCCGGGAGAGAAAGGAGAAGCTGGAGAACCTGTGAGTGCCGGGTGCCTGACTGAGGGGTGGGGACGCTGAGAAGCCAGAGGCCAGGGAACCAGACCGCAGAAACTTCCAGAAGGATGACTGGTTTCTGAGCACCATGGTCATGTGGCCTGATTCTGGGAGGACATGGCTCCTGTGGGTGATGAGGACTGGGGGGCACACGGCCCAGCTGGCCCTGCAGCACTCCCACCCGGGCAGACCCCCACGCCCCTCAGTCCCCCGCCCCCCACAGGCCCACCTGCTCACAGAGGGCAGGGGGCAGCGGTCGGCCAGCAGGTGGCCTCTGCTTCAGCCACGGTGGTCTCCGCCCCGGGGTGGGGGGCCCTGTGTCTCTCCCTCCCTGGAGCTCCACTGAGGGCCCCCAGGAGTGGGGCTGGGCTTCCACAGCAGGGCACTTCTTGGACACAGGTCAGTGGTCAGCCTGCCGGGTCTCTCCAGCTGACCAGGCCTGAGTAGGGTGGGGAGTGAGGGGGCTGGGTGGGGGTCTCCTGCTCCCAGGGCTGTCTAACACGCCCCCCTCCCCTGCTGCAGGGAAGACCTGGGGACCTCGGACCCGTCGGCTACCAGGGCATGAAGGTGGGTCTCTCCTCCCCCACGCGGCCTTGCCCTGGACCTCAGGGCATCAGGCCTTCAGCAGCCCTCACACCCACTTCCTCTCCTCTGTTTGCTGTGTAGGGAGAAAAAGGGAGCCGAGGGGAGAAGGTGAGTGACCTGCGGCTTTGGGACGTGTCCCTGGGGCACGGAGTGGCCCCCCACTCTGGACAAGGACAGTGCTGCCCGTTCCCTGTGTGGCGAGGCTGCAATGAGCTGGGGGTGCCTCACCCCACGATGGGGAGACCAAGCCCCTCACCCTCCCTTTCTATCTCCACAGGGCTCCAGGGGACCCAAAGGCTACAAGGTGAGATGCCCGAGGGGCACAGTCAGTGGGGACACTGCCCTGTGGGGGTGCAGTCTGACCTTTGTCTGACCTTTGATTTTTGCACTTCTCAGGGCGAGAAGGGAAAGCGTGGCATGGACGGCGTGGATGGCATGAAGGTCACCCTCAGCTCGGGGAGGGTGGAGGCGGGGCATATTTTACGGGGAAGGGATGGTGGGCCAGGCTGGCTATCCTCGAGGAGGTGGGTGGATAGGGGTCTCGTGTGTGGTCACCCTGGGCAACTCTGAGGTAGCATGGAAGGCAGGAGACGTTTCTTGCCAAGCCTCAGGTCCCAGTGGACCCTAAGCTACCCAGCCAAGCTCAGAGTGTCTTCCACTGGGGGGAACTTTCTTAGGAAATGGTGGATGAGCCAGACCTGAGAGGCTTGACCCCCAAACCCACCTTCCTCCTTGCAGGGGGAGACAGGGTACCCCGGCCTGCCAGGCTGCAAGGGCTCACCCGGATTCGACGTAAGTCACTTTCTCTCACCCACATCTTAAGGCTGTGAGCTCTCAGGAGTGAAAATTGCCTCAGCCCTCCTGCCAACCGTGCGAAGTCACGCATGCCATGTGGCCTGGCAACCTGTCCTGCTGGCTTGTTGCTTGCCGGCAAGTGGCTGCCAGTGGCTGCCATTTCAGACTGTGGTCTGACTCTGTGTCCTCTCCCCAGGGTGTCCAAGGACCCCCCGGGCCCAAGGGCGACGCAGGTGCCTTTGGACTGAAAGGAGAGAAGGTCAGTGACTCGAGCCCACAGAGGGTGGGCCCGGCTGGAGCTTAAACGACCCACCTGGCATTGCGGAGAACTTCCTTCTGGAAGCAGGTTCTCGGCTTCAGTGTGGGGACCAGGCCCCACTGCTCTTCCCAGGCTGGCAGGGATGGGCGTGGGAACCTCTGCCCGGGAGAGCACAGGGTCCCCAGCCTTGGGCGTGTCCCGCCCCCATCGCACTTCTGGCACCCGCCTGTCCATCCAAGGCCTCTCTGGACACCTCAGGACAGTCCACACAGCCTGCAGCCCTCTGGTCAGCCCAGGATCGACCTGCTCACGTGAAATGTAAACTCAGGAATAAACTCAGTGAAATACTCACACTGTGGCGGGCAGAGCAGTGAGGCCTGAGGATTCACATTCTGCCTCTAATTCGAATCTGTTGCTGATATTTCTCTGGGTTTTCAGCAACAGCAAATGCTGGAAAAGTTGGAGGAGTAACATGAATTCTATCCCAAATGCATCCTAGCAACATGGATGTCCTGGAGTGTGGTTGAGGTCTGAGGGTGCCAGCCCCCAGCCTGGCGACCCCAGGCTTCCACTCTCAAGGGCCCGGCTGGCCCCTGCCATGGGCAGTGTTTGAACCTGGGAAGTGGGTTTGGTGCAGAGATGTGGGTGGCTAGGGTCATCAGGGACTGCGGCCTGAAGCCTGGGTGAGGAGGGCCAACATGGGGCCATGGGCCCCCAGGACAGCCGGGCATGGCCTCCTGAAGGCTGACCCTTGGGTCTTTCCAGGGTGAGCCCGGAGCAGACGGGGAGCCTGGGAAGCCAGGGAGCACGGGGCCCCCCGGAGATGAGGTGAGCGTGCATGTTTCCCTGATGCAGGGGGGGTGACCGCGCCTGGGAGGGCCTCAGGGTCAGAGGAGACGGTCTGCACTGTTGTTCTCAGGGTGAGCCCGGAGAGCCCGGTCCCCCGGGAGAGAAGGGAGAAGCCGGCGATGAGGTAGGAGCCCTCCTGCCCGCGACACCCCAGACTCAGCAGAGATCTTCCTGCTGATGAGCTCATGTCGATTCCTCTTACTCCAGGGAAATGCAGGACCAGACGGAGCCCCCGGAGAGAAGGTGAGCGGGTGCTCTGAGCCTTCACCAGTCAGCAGCCGGTGTGACTGGTGTGGCCCACGTGGCCCCAGGTGGATGGGGCGGGGCATGAGGCAGAGAGACCATGCATCCTGGCATCTGCTGGGGGGACAGCCCCGAGCCCAGGCCCCAGGCTCCCACCCCACACCTCACCGCCTCTGCTCCCTCCACACAGGGAGGCCCTGGGGAAAGAGGACCTCGAGGGACCCCAGGTGCACGGGGCCCAAGAGGAGACCCGGTGAGTTACTGTCCCCAAGCTGGGACCCCCATCCCCTGAGGGGGAGGCAAAGACCCGGCCAGACTGGGGTCAGGCCATCAGAACCAAGGACAGGTCACCGTGACCCTCTGGCCCTGAGGTGTGGGTGACCCACACCCTGGACTCCCATGTCTCAAAGATCCCCCTCTCCAGCCTACTTCCTGTGTGGGACCTCGCCCCGCAGGCCCCGAGCTGCAGAGAAAGGTCAGCAACAGATTCGGATTAGAGGCAGAATGCGAATCCTTAGGCCTCCCTGCTCCGCCCACCACGGCGTCAGCATCGCCCTGCTCCTTCTTCAGTTTACACTTCACAGAGGGGAGTGTAGCCAGCACCCCCCCACCCCTGCCGGGGGCACAATGTGCTGCCTCCAGGCCTCGGCAGGGGTATCGGCCCCTCATCGTGGCCCCCTGAAAACACGAGTCCCCTGATGGCCAAGCACATGCCCCGTTGGAGGACAGGGGAGAGAAGGAAGCGAGACCATCGCAGCGGACACAGGAGCTGCCGGCCCCCCGCCGGTGGCCCCCAGGGCGGCCGTCCTCCCCGTCTCCTCCTCAGTGGCTTTTCCCCCCAGGGTGAAGCTGGACCCCAAGGTGACCAGGGACGAGAAGGCCCCGTCGGTGTCCCCGGTGACCCGGTATGAAGCCTGGCTGGCAGGGGTTGGGGAGGGGCGTGGTGCTGCCAGATGGGAGCAACTCACAGATGCAGGGGGAGGTCTCTTCACTCCAACCCAGGTGCTTCCTTGTGGGGGTGTGGCCTGGAGACCTGGGGTGTCTGGGGTTGGGGGGACGGCGGCCAGGGGGCTGGTACGGATTGGCAAGGTGGACCAGTGCTCACAGGGGGAGCCCTGTCCCTGGGTGGGCACTGCCAGGATGCAGCCTTGAGCAAAGACCCCCAGGCTGCCCCCCACGTTGCCCTCAGAGTGGGGAGGATGCCTTGGTGCGGCTAGAGCTGAAAGAGGTCAGTGAGGGTGGATGCCGGGCAGTGAGCCATCAAGACCAGTGGGGGCGGGGAATGGGGGGCGGGGCTGGCAGCAGCAGAGGCGTGCTGGAGCCTGGGCCGTTGGGGACCCCTCCAGCCTGTGGAGGGGGGCAAGGTCTCGGAGGACTGAGCCCAGACAGGTACCACACCGGAGATGGACTGTGTAAACCTCCCTCGGGGTTTGGAGCCCGGGGCCAAGATGCTGGCAGGAAGTTGACTTGGGAGTGTCAATCCAAGAACATTCCAGAATTCCTGGGCGTGACCTTCTAGAGGCTATGCTAGGGGAGGGGAAGACAGTGGAGGCCTGAAGAAGCAGTGGGCTGGGCGAGAGGAACAGCCTGGGAATAGGCTAGAAGCTTTGAGCGGCTGGATGGGAGAGCTGAGATCACTCCCCCAGGGAGCATCATGCCTGACCGCCCACCCCCCCCACCGCCAACTGGTACTCTCAGCCCATCTTCTCCAGACCCTGACTGGGTCCTGCTGCAGGGTTCACAAGTGGAGGGCATGTGGGGTGACAGAACGCACACAGAGACAAGACAGGTCAGGCCGGGCTGTCACCACTGGGCAGGCCTTGGCCAGAGCGACAAGGCAGGAATCTGGCCGTCAGGTTTGTCGAAGCTGCCACACCACCTTGATGGGTGGTCTTGGCCAGGCTATGCTGGAGCTCTGATGGCATCCTGGCACTCTTGGTGGCCAGTGGGTCCTGGAAGAGGTCTACAGAACCCACTCGAGCTCCAGCCAGCCCTGGGGAAGCACAGGAAGGGGAGCACACAGCCTGGTGCCACCCTCATGGGGCAGGGGGCCTGGCAGTTCAGTGGGGAGACAGACCATACGTCTGTGAACACATAGCAAATGGACCAGCGTGCGTGGTGAGGATGCGTGGCAAGGAAGCTGGGTCCTGCGAGGCCCCGAACTCCACCCGCCCCCTCCCATGGGGTGAGGGCTGCACCTGGGGCCCACAAGCCCCTGAGGGCCCCTGAGATGAGGGTGCAGTCTGGGCTGGGCACCCTTGGCCTACAATGGGGCCTCTTCCTTGGCGTCCTTGGAAGGGTCTGCTTCCTGCCCCTCATCATTCTCACGGACTGTGTGTAGATTGTCCGCAGTGTTTTGCTTTACAGAAAAATACTGTCATAAGTATCAACATCCATCTGTTGTTCAGTCAGCTCATCTGTCCATCTGTCCATGTGTTTATCCATCTTTATCTGTCTGTCCACCCATCACCTGTGTACACATGTGCGTATCTATCCATCTGTCCATCCACCCATCACCTGTGTACATACGTGTGTATCTCTCCATCTGTCCATCCGCCCACCACCTGTGTACATGTGTCAGTTCAGTCCATCTGACATATGTGTCAGTTCAGTTCAGTCTCTCAGTCGTGTCTGACTGTTTGCAACCCCATGGACTGCAGCACACCAGGCTTCCCTGTCCATCACCAACACCCGAGGTTGCTCAAACCCATGTCCATCAAGTCGGTGATGCCATCCAGCCATCTCATCCTCTATTGTTCCCCTTCTCCTCCTGCCTTCAATCTTTCCCAGCATCAGGGTCTTTTCCAATGAGTCAGCTCTTCATGTCAGGTGGCNTCTGCCATTAGTGTGGCATTATCTGCATATCTGAAGTTATGGATATTCACCCAGCAATCTTGATTCCAGCCTGAGCTTCATCCAGCCCAGCAGTTCACATGATGAACTCTGCATGTAAGTTAAATAAATAGAGTGACAATATACAGCCTTGACATATTCCTTTCTCAGTTTTGAGGAAGTCCATTGTTCCATGTCCAGCTCTAACTTGCTTCATGACCTGCATACAGGTTTCTCAGGAGGCAGGTAAGGTGGTCTGGTACTCCCATCTCTTGAAGAATTTTCCACAGTTTGTTGTGATCTGCACAAAGATTTAGCATAGTCAATGAAGCAGAAGTAAATGGTTTTCTGGAATTCTCTTGCTTTTTCTATGATGCAAAGGATGTTGGCAATTTGATCTCTGGTTCCTCTGCCTTTTCTCAATCCAGCTTGAACATCTGGAAGTTCACAGTTCATGTACTGTTGAAGCCTGGCTCAGAGAATTTTGAGCATTACTTTGCTAGCATGTGAGATGGTACAATTGTGCAGTAGTTTAAACCTTCTTTGGCATTGCCTTTCTTTGGGATTGGAATGAAAACTGACTTTTTCCAGTCCTGTGGCCACTGCTGACTTTTCCAAATTTTTTGGCATATTGAGTGCAGCACTTTCACAGCATCATCTTTTAGGATTTGAATTAGCTCAGCTGGAATTCCATCACCTCCACTAGCTTTGTTTGTAGTGATGCTTCCTAAGGCCCACTTGACTTTGTATTCCGGGATATCTGGCTCTAGGTGAGTGATCACACCATTGTGGTCATCTGGTTCATTAAGATCTTTTTTGTACAGTTCTTCTGTGTATTCTTGGCACCTCTTCTTAGTATCTTCTGCTTCTGTTAGGTCCATACCATTTCTGTCCTTTATTGTACCCATCTTTGCATGAAATGCTCCCTCAGTATCTCCAATTTTCTTGAAGAGATCTCTAGTCCTTCCCATCTTATTGTTTTCCTCTATTTCTTTGCATTGATCACTGAGGAAGTCTTTCTTATCTCTCCTTGCTATTCTTTGGAACTCTGCATTCAAATGGATATATCTTTCCTTTTCTCCTTTGCCTTGAACTTCTCTTCTTTTCTCAGCTGTTTGTAAGGCCTCCTCAGACAACCATTTTGCCTTTTTGCATTTTTTTACAATGTGTACACATGTGTGTATCTATCCGTCTGCCCATCCACCCATCTGTCTAGTCATCTGTCATATATCTATGGATGTATGTATCCATCCATCCATCTATCTGCCCACCCACCTGCTCATCCATCCATCCTGAAGAGCTTCCAAGACAATATCCAGCATGTAAATTCTTAGCAGCAAAATGTCTTAGCCCCAGTGTTATGTGTATGAGTTGACCTTTGCCAAATAATCCTACCTACCTGCCCATCTGGCCCCCACTCACTCTCCCCCAAGAGTGTAAAGCAAGCCGCACACACTCTTCTGCCAACATGAGCTGTGATCAGACTCTGGCTCCGCACGTTTACTCGTCTCCTGGATTGACTGTTGGTGTGTTTGTGGGCTGAGTGTGGTCTCTGCTGGGCTGCTCACGCAGTTGATCACTTCCCGCCAGGGTCTGTGTTCCCCACGGTGGTGGGGGATGAGGGGCTGCATCCATAGTGCAAATGTTGTTCTCATCTGTCTTGAGCTTGTCTGGGGTGCCTTGTAGTTGAGGTTGTCCTGCTTGTGCACAAAGGTTTACAGATGCTCTCACCCCTTGAAGTGTGGTTTTGCTCACCTCTGATTCGTCGGGAGCGTAGACTCCAGCGGTGGAAGAGGGGTGGGCTTGCCCTCCTTGGCCTGTTGTCACAACGCACACGAGTGCAGTCTGTCTCAGTGATTGGAATGCGGTTCCGTCAGGTTTAAAGCCCCTCGTCTCTACGTGTCTCTTTCTGGAGCGACTGTCACACGCCCCTGCTCTTTCTGTGTCCTCCCTGTCCCCACAGCTGACTCGTGGCCTCAGGCTGAGTAGGCCCTGTTGCCAGGCCGCCTCCCAGGCCCTGGCCTTTTCTGGACGGTAACTGCGGAGCTGTGGCCGCTCCCGGCCAGTGGTGCTGACACATTCTGCCTGGGTTCTTCCTGTGGCACTGTCGGGAAGTCATTCAAACTCTAAAGGCACAGGACACTGGAAGCGGGACCCGGCCTGGGGTCCTGGGTGCATCCCAACCGCGTTAGTTTTCAGAGTAATTGGTTGTTGCAGTAAAAGGAAGCTGCCGAGAGTGTGGGGCAAAGGGAGGCCCCTCTTAGGCCGCAGGAACCCTGAACACTGCTGGGAACGGCTGCCTCCTTTGGGGGGGCCCTGTGTCCCCCCAGCCTGCGACCAACTGGGGATTGTCCCCCCTGGACCTGTGGCTCCCAACCCAGGTGGCACTTGGTGACCTGCACATGCAACTTCCCGGCCCCCAGGTCTTCTGTTTCTGAACTCAGCCCCACCCTCCCGACCCTGTCAGGGGCCCCACANCCCAAGATAGGTCAGGGGTCTGTGGAGTCCCTGGGGGACCAAGAGCCTGGACGGGAAGGCAGGCGATGGTCCCCAGGGAGCGGCAGGATGGAGCAGCCAGCAAGGGTGGGGTATGGGGCCGGGGGCCACGGAGGGTCAGAGGGGGCCCATCAGCTGTGTCCTCTCTCTGCAGGGTGAGGCTGGCCCCATTGGGCCGAAAGGATACCGAGGTGATGAGGGGCCCCCAGGGACCGAGGTGAGTAGCCTCCCTGCCACTGTCCCAGGAGGGACTAGCCTGACCCCCGTCCCCGCCCCCCACCCAGACTTCTTTGGGAGAACCCCCTGGGCTCCCACACATAAATGTTTCATTTCACTTCATGGAATGTGTGACTCTGACGACATTTAGAAAATGCAGAAAAATATTAAAAAGAGAATTGAAATCGAAAACCCCACCTAGACAGAAACAGCATCAACAGATTGGCTTCTTTCTTTCCAAATTCCTTTTTTTTTCCTTTGCATGTTATGCCTTATGAATTTGACTTGAGAAGGTTTTTCGTTGTTTTTCTCATTATGAACTCAGACCTTAGCAATTGTTCAACTTTGCTGACATGCTGGCGCTGGCCACGCCTGCAGTGTGTCTGCTGGCTCCTCCACCCCGTCTGGTTGGGCTCTTGGGTGTGACTCCCCCACAGTGACCCCCTGGGTCCCTGTCCCTGTTCTGGTCACCTCCTTCTTGGGTCACTCCCTGGGTGGACATGGGGCAGGTGTAGCCTCTAAGGCCCAAAGGTGGCATGGCCTCCAGGATTCCGGGTTTAAAAACCTTTTTTTGAGTAATTTATGTGCTGCATGAAAACATGTTATCTTATTTAATTCTTCTCTTTCCTCCAGGAGGCCTTGTGCCTCCGAGTCTATGTGGCTTGCTACCCAGAATCCACTTCATTTTCTCCTCCTTAGGGCCCCAAAGGAGCTCCAGGGCCTGCAGGCCCCCCCGGAGACCCCGGGCTGATGGGTGAGAGGGTGAGTGATGCAGGGCAAAGGGTACATCCTGGGCGGGAGATTGCCTGGGGCCCGGAGACTGGAAGCAGCTGGCCTGGGCGAGTCCTGCAGTGGCTGGACTCCATCTGCTCTCCCAGGGTGAAGACGGCCCCCCCGGGAATGGCACCGAAGGTTTCCCCGGCTTTCCCGTGAGTACTCTGCGTCCTGCCTGATGCCCCCTTAAGCCAGTGGGGCACATGGCTCTCTGGCTGGGGCTGCCCCTCTGGTGTGACTGGTGTGACTGATGTGACTGTCCCGCCTTTCCCTAGGGCTACCCAGGCAGCAGAGGTCCTCCTGGGATAAACGTGAGTACACGCCATCTGCTCTGTTGGCCGTGGGAGGTGCACTTGGGCACACACGCTCGTGCACACACATTGCTCCCACACCTGAGCAAACACGTGCAGACACACACAGCCCCGCCTCAGTCCAGCTCATCGCCAAGCCCGCCCCCTGCCCCCAGTCCGTGTCTCTGTCTCCTCAGGCCCTGCTCGGCCCCGGGCGCCCCTGCTGGCTGACACTCCCCTCGGGATCTGTTCACTCCATGGCCCACCCCAGAGGCCTGACCCCTAGAAGCCCAGAGCTGCAGCACCCACCCCAACCCTGGGCCGGCTCCCCCTAACTATGTGCTCTTCATCACCTGCAGGGCACCAAAGGCTACCCCGGCCTCAAGGGGGACGAGGGAGAAGCCGGGGACCCCGGAGAGGACGTGAGTGCAAAGCCCACTGCGTTTGGCGACATCCCTGGTCAACCTCGGCCTTGAGGACCCAGAGCCCACGGACCATGGGGGAACGTGGCTCCGAGGGTGGCTGAGCGTTCTGGGGGTCAAGGGGGTGATGGCCAGGCTCATAGCATGTGGTCTGGCCGTGCGTGCAAGCTGACGACAATGCACTGTGTCTTTCCAGAATAATGACATTGCTCCACGAGGCCCCAAAGGAGCAAAGGGCTACCGAGGTCCTGAAGGCCCCCAGGTGGGTCCATAGGCGGGCGGGTGCCCTCCCTGAGGCTGTGGAGTCTGGGGTGGTGGGAACCTGGGAGCAAGGCTCTGGGGATGGGCTCCAGGAGGATTGGGGGGACATGCAGTTTCAGGGTCTGGGGGGCTGAGCATGAAGGGGTGGGCAGAAGGGGAGGGCAGATCTCCAGGCGAGCTGTGACGGGCATGGTAGCACCTCAGGTGGTGCCTGGGTGAGGCTGGGCACCTTGCCCATCAAGGTGGCACCGTTAGACCCACCGGGACACTCTCCCGTGGGGGGATGAACTCCCACTGACCGCCAGGAAAGGGCAATCGGACAATGGTCACCAGGTGGATGACAGTAGCAGGTTCCGAGCCTTCATGGTGCAGAAGCCTCGGCTCCCCCTAGGGTTGGGGGACCCTGCATGAAGGGGGTCAGCCAAGGGCTCCTGTCAGATCTGCGGCCGAGGAATCAGCACGGCCCCAGCGTCCACCCTGACAATCCTTCTCCTATCCTTTCTCGGACAGGGACCCCCAGGACACGTGGGACCACCAGGGCCAGACGTAAGTGTTGTGAATATCCTTGGGGACTGACCACTGTGGCCAAGGCTCCTGTGGGGGTGGGGAGCCTGACAGCAGCAGGGATCACAGAATGGCCACAGGGAGACATGTGGAGGCCCCAGCAGGGACACTGGAGGTCACAGCCGACACACAAGGGCCGTGGGGGCACGTGACAGTCACAGTGGGGATGTGTGCTGGTCGTAAGGGAGCATACAGAGCCACGAGGGGGGACACATGATGGCCACAGTGAGACACCCGAGGCCACATGTCAGAGGCCACATCAGATGTCCATGCCCCGCAGGCAGGGGCCTCCCAGGTAGAGCGGGGCACGCCCTGGGAAGGGGGACACCCTGCCCAGCCCAGTCCAGCCCCTCTGCGGTCCCAGCTGGAGTCCCAGGGGAGGGGGACCCGGAGGGCTGGCCTCACCCCTGAGGCCTGGGAAGCCTCTCCCCCCACCCCAGGGGGTGCCACAGGAGAACCAGTTCCTNGTCTCAATGCCTGTCCCTCCCATGATAAAGTCTGGAGGGGTGCAGGGGTAGCTGGCTGGGGGGTTAGTCTTGACGCCATATGATCGCCTCTTTCTTCTCTTCCCAGCTTGCTGTGGTGAGTCTGACTCTTCACCTGGGGGGCAGACTCGTCTCCCCTCCCCTGGATTGGCCCTGGGTGCTGGCCTGCCCATCCTCCCCTGGTCATTCACGCAGTCAGGGATGGGGGGACCGGAGTTCTCTCCATGACCCCCAGTCCTTGAGCCCCCACCCCTCGCTGCCCTGCTTTGGAGGGGTCCTGGGAGGGGCTCCGAGGCTTACCGCACCTCTGCCACCTGCAGAGTGCAAGTGCGGGCCCATCGACATCCTCTTCGTGCTGGACAGCTCCGAGAGCATCGGCCTACAGAACTTCGAGATCGCCAAGGACTTCATCGTCAAGGTCATTGACCGGCTGAGCAGGGACGAGCTGGTCAAGGTGAGGCGGCCGCCCTGGCCTCGCTCGGGGATGAAGGTGCCCAGGGAGGCAGGGCTCTGTCCTGACACCAGAGTGGAAGGGCCGGGTGCTGAGGGCTGCAGGAGAGACGCCTTGTTTCTCAAAAGCCAAGGCCCCCAGCCCAGCAGAGCATGAGAGCCCCCTGGGGGCCTGGGGGCCAGTCCAGCCCGGGACTGGGGGGTGGGTGGAGGCGTGACCTGAGCAGGGAGAAGCACCAGCACCTCGGGGATCCTGGGGGTGTTCCTCATGGCGGCGGCTCTCTCGAGCAGTTTGAGCCTGGGCAGTCGCATGCAGGCGTGGTACAGTACAGCCACAACCAGATGCAGGAGCACGTGGACCTGAGGGACCCCAACATCAGGAGTGCCCAGGACCTCAAGGAGTGAGTGTGGCCGCTTGGCGCCTGCACACGCATTGTAGCCCAAGGCCCACTTGGGCCCTGACCCCAGACCCTGGCCCTGCCCTTGACCCCCGGCCCCCCTGACTCCTGGTTCCCGCCCTAACGGTGCCGTGGCCCTGCAGAGCCATCAAGAAGCTGCAGTGGATGGGCGGGGGCACCTTCACGGGCGAGGCCCTACAGTATACCCGGAGCCGGCTGCTGCCGCCCACCCAGAACAACCGCATCGCCCTGGTCATCACGGACGGCCGCTCAGACACCCAGAGGGACACCACCCCGCTCAGCGTGCTCTGCGGCCCTGACATCCAGGTGGGGCGGCCCCCACGCCACACTGTCGCCCTCACGCCCAGGGGCTCAGGGGACTGTCCGCACCAAGGGCCACACCAACACTGTCCCTGCCCCCCAGGTGGTCTCCGTGGGCATCAAGGATGTCTTTGGCTTGGCCGCGGGCTCTGACCAGCTCAACGTCATCTCCTGCCAAGGCCTGGCACCCCAGGGACGGCCAGGCATCTCGCTGGTCAAGGAAAACTATGCCGAGCTGCTGGACGACGGCTTCCTGAAGAATATCACCGCCCAGATCTGCATAGGTGAGCGTGGCAGGTGGGCCCTGTGGCTCAGCTGTCCGTCCTCCACACGCTGTGACCTCCAGCTGTGGCAGCAGATGCCCATGGCCAGTGGCGTGTCCACTCCCCTCTGAGCTGCTCCCCATGCTTACTCTGGAGGTTGTAGCCTGACTCCCTTGTGGCTTGGCATCCACACACGTGTTCCCCGAGTTTGGGCTGCATTGTGGTCTCCCACTGCACACACGTGCACTGGAGTCTGAGGTTGGGTGCACCCAAAAGTGTGGGCAGTGATGGGCCTTGGAGCCTGAGACCCCTCAGAGGTTCCCACGTAAGGGACACACTTGCCACGTCCGTCTGGGCTTGGCCCAGGATCAGAGCTGAGTCCACATTGCAGCTGCTGGGCGGTAACTAGAGAATGTTTCAGGCTCAGACTCAGGGCCCCGACTGGCGCAGTGGAGCCAGCATTACCTGGGGCTTGTGGCATGGGGCCTGTGCTGTAGAACCCTTCCTCAGCCCTGAGCTTGGTCTCCCTGTTCTTGGAAGGGCTGGTGCCTGGAGGACCCTTCCATCACTCAAAGGCCCCCTCTGGAATAAGGGACATCCCTCCTGTTGGGTGGAGACAGTGGTGGCCGTGCCTTCCACCTCAGAAGTGCCAGGGGTCCTCTTGTTGGGCGGTTACAGGAGGAACAGCGGTCCCTGTGTTCGCTGGTTCATGCTGTGGGGTTTTCTCTTTTACAGACAAGAAATGTCCAGATTACACCTGCCCGAGTGAGTACTGGGGGGTGGATGGGATGCTCGTGGGGGGCGCTGGGTAAGAAGGGTCTGGAGGCCATAGGGGGCGGGGCAGGCTCCCAGGGCCTGCGGTGCACGCTCACAGCTGCTCCGCCCGCAGTCACCTTCTCCTCCCCGGCCGACATCACCATCCTCCTGGACGGCTCAGCCAGCGTGGGCAGCCACAACTTTGACATCACCAAGCGCTTTGCCAAGCGGCTGGCAGAGCGCTTCCTGACAGCGAGCCGGACAGACCCGGGCCAGGACGTGCGCGTGGCCGTGGTGCAGTACAGTGGCACGGGGCAGCAGCGGCCGGAGCGGGCGGCCCTGCAGTTCCTGCAGAACCACACGGTGCTGGCCAACACCGTGGACTCCATGGGCTTCTTCAATGACGCCACCGATGTCATGGACGCCCTGGGCTACGTGACCCGCTTCTACCGCGAGGCCTCGTCCGGCACCGCCAAGAAGAGGCTGCTGCTCTTCTCAGATGGTAACTCGCAGGGCGCCACGCCGGCCGCCATCGAGAAGGCGGTGCAGGAGGCCCAGCGGGAGGGTGTGGAGATCTTCGTGGTGGTGGTGGGCCGCCAGGTGAACGAGCCCCACGTGCGTGTCCTGGTCACGGGCAAGGCGGCGGAGTACGACGTGGTCTTCGGCGAGCGCCACCTGTTCCGCGTGCCCAGCTACCAGGCGCTGCTGCGGGGCGTCTTCTACCAGACGGTGTCCAGGAAGGTGGCTCTGGACTAGTGGCCTGGCCCCTGCCACCGAGACAGAGGCAAGAGGGGACCTAACGTTCCTGACCGACCCGACTAGCTAGGATTTTTTTAAGGGAAAGCTTGAAAAGCCATGATTCGATGCTCTATGCTTGGCCTGCCCCCCAGAGCAGAGTGTCGGTGCTGGGGTTCTGCAGGCCCCCTCCTGCCACCTGCCTGAGCCTGCACCCCAAGTGCCCTCCTCCTGCTGCCTGTCCACGTCCCCTCATCCCAGTCAGAACACCAGCACCTGGTTCTCTTTCCTTTCTGGGGTCTGCTGTCACTGCCTTCCCTCTCCACCAACGCCCGCCACCACCACCCAGAGCTTGACTTCCTTCCGATCCTAGAGTCTTTCAGAAAACCCTCGCTCAGCCAAAAGTCAGGTCTCCCAGGGAACTTGCACAGGAGCATGAGCCCTGATGAGCTGACACCCCTCACGAGGCTCTTGTCACTCACACCTGCCAGCAGAAACCACGACTCCTCCTTGATGGCAAAGCCCAGACCGCAAACCCCAGAGCGAAGGTGCTATCCTGCCCCACCCCACCCCAGGACTGGAGGCCTGGCCGCACCCCCTGGGGCACAGTGAGGCGTTTTATCAGAAACAAGCTGAAGCCCTTTTTCCTCAAGAAAGTGATTGGTTCTACATTTTATTGAAGATTTTCTTGGTTCTTTAGTTTTACTTTTACTCCTTTCTGTGTTTTTTCTCAACCGTGTTCATGTGGGCGACTTTTCCAAATAAAGGTTTTCACTCTCCTTTCCGTGGTCGTCGTTCCGAGGAGTTAAACCGCCATTGTGCTTGCCCTTTTCAGCGACAGGAGGACTCAGCGGGGCTGAGGCGTCCAGCGGGGGGGCTGAGAGGTGCCTCCACGGCCAGGCGCCGTCCATCCACACCCCTCTTCCAGGTCTGGGAGAAAATCGGGAACTTAAAGGCCGTCCCCGGTACTTGGGGAGGATTTGGGAGGACGAGCCTGACACTCTGACTGTAGAATCGGAAGCAGGTTCAGAGGCAGTGGGGGCCGCTGGGAGATAGGTCCCCCAAACGGCCAGCATTCCAGCCCCCAAACCACCCCAGGATGTCTGCAGGGGCTGGGCAATCCAGCCTGGATTCAGAGCAGACCGCAGAGAGGCCCGCCCCCCACCCCTGTCTTCAGGAGAAGCCCCCCATCTGAGGAAGGCAGGTAGACCGCTGTGGGGGGAGGAAAGGGGAGAGGTGTGGCGTGGGCCGCAGCTGAAGAAAGCGGGAGGAGTTTGGGCAGGGGTCTCCCAGGGGCCTCCACAGGGGCATGGCGGGAGTGGGGAAGGGACCCTGGCGAGTATCCTTGGGCGGGGCCCCTGGGGGGATTGGCGCCCCACCCCCGGACACCACACAAAATGGGGCCATGAGAGCAGAGCACCAGGAGGTGGGCGTCCTCGACTCTGGGGGAGCAGCACCCCTGTGGAACGGGGGGTCAGGGATCTCCCGGGGGCTCGACCCTGACCCATGCCACCCTCAGCTCCGTGGGAGCCTGACCGCTGCTGGCGTAAGTGTCCACCGCTTGCGGTCACCAGGAGGAGCCCGGGTTTGAGGGTTGACCCCCTCCTCGGCACCCCCAGTGGTGTGACCATGAGCTGGTCACCTTCACCTCAGTGTACTCAGCCACAGTTGGGCTCATAACTCGACCGTGCCCACCCAAGGGGCAAACAGCGTGTGTGTCTGTTTGGGGTCCAGGCAGCTGGAGTCTCTGCGTGCGGCCACAGTGGGGAGGCCGGAGGACTGACGGGAAAGGGCAGCTTTAGGGGGTGAGCCTGGTTGGGTAAGCGGTGCCAGGGCTCCAGGAGTCTCTGCAGGACCCCTGCACCCCCACCTTCCATCTCCACGGCCCCCACTGCTTTGACTGCCTCCTGGGGATCCCAGGTCTGCACCTGGGTCAGGGGGCTTTGGCACGGGCCTGGGGGCTCTCCCCATGCACCTGGGGGTGGTCACCCCAGAGACCTCCTCCTGAAGGACAGCGAGAAATTGGAACCTTAGCCTTTAAGAAAGGATGAGCCTTAATCCCTGAATCACCTCTAACTGGACTCCCGGCTGGGACCAGGCATTAGGCTCCTCCTCCCAACACCCCCAGGTTAGGACAAGGGTCTTCCTTCATTCTTTAAAACTACGGTGCAGGATCCTGGGGCCCAGCACGCCCGTATGCTCTCCATGTGTTTAAAGCAAATGTCCCAGACCCTCGCGTATGCTCTCCATGTGTTTAAAGCAAATGTCCCAGACCCTCGCTTGAAGTACCGCAAACCAGGGCAAAACAGGTTCCCGTTCCTGCTCCTGTCTGTGGTCGGGCTCCCATTCCTCCCACGCTTGGGCTCATGGCTCCAATGTCTGCTCGCCTCCCTCTGCACTGCAGGACCCCTGCACCCCCACCTTCCATCTCCACGGCCCCCACTGCTTTGACTGCCTCCTGGGGATCCCAGGTCTGCACCTGGGTCAGGGGGCCTTGGCACGGGCCTGGGGGCTCTCCCCACGCACCTGGGGGTGGTCACCCCAGAGACCTCCTCCTGAAGGACAGCGAGAAATTGGAACCTTTGCCTTTAAGAAAGGATGAGCCTTAATCCCTGAATCACCTCTAACTGGACTCCCAGCTGGTACCAGGCTTCAGGCTCCTCCTCCCAACACCCCCAGATTAGGGTCTTCCTTCATTCTTTAAAACTACGGTGCAGGATCCTGGGGCCCAGCACGCCTGTATGCTCTCCATGTGTTTAAAGCAAATGTCCCAGACCCTCGCTTGAAGTCCCGCAAACCAGGGCAAAACAGGTTCCCGTTCCTGCTCCTGTCTGTGGTCGGGCTCCCATTCCTCCCAGGCTTGGGCTCGTGGCTCCAATGTCTGCTCGCCTCCCTCTGCACACAGTTGGAGCTACAGGGCACCCTGGGATGTGGCCACTCCCCTTTGTCCCGACCCACAGCTGCCGGGGGTGACATCGCCCTCACTCCTCTGAGCCTCGGCTTCAGCTTCCTCCTCCTCCCAGGAAGCCTGGTCCTTGAAGTGGGGTCTGGAGGTGCTCGGAGGCCCCCTGCGAGCCCCACCTGGAAGCTGCCCAGGATCCATCAGCCAACAGGGATGGATAGACAGGGCATACACAGCCTCCGGTCCCTTCACTCTGACCTAGCCCACGGTCCATCCAAGTGTGGGGAGGGGGTTGGTCAGAGGGCTGCATGTTTGTGAAATCGACCTCGAGGCTGTGGCCTCCACGGGGTCCACCCGGATATCCTGGCCGGTTGGCAAAGGGGCTGCAGCCTCGACCGCCTTGGTTTGCAGACTAGGTCGCAGCCCTTTTCACTTTCAAACTACACACTTCCGTCATCTTAGTGAGTGTTCAAACATGGCCTTGGGTGGCATTTAGCCCTGTCTGTTGGTCCTTGTTCTTCAAGGGGAGTCACTTATCTCCACGCTCACTGCTACAGCCAGGGTCTGGTCTTTGCAGTGAGTTTTTTTGTTTTTTTTTTTGCTAAGAATGCACAAAAAGGAACACTTTTCCATCTGTGATTTTTCAGGAGGGAGGGCAGGCGGTGCCCATGGTCAGATGGCTGCTGTGCAGCTCTCTGATGGAGATCCTCACACCACACCCGGGCGCCTCCACCCGTGTCCAACTGTCTGGGGGTCACTGTCTAAAGGAAATGATGCCCTTCCAGGGTGGCATTTAAAATTCAGTGACTCCTCTGTCTTTCGGCTCATGGGTGACTACATTTAACGGTTCCCAGAGACTGAGAGGCCCTCCTCCAGTGAAGCCTGGAAAGCCGCTCTGCTCGGGGAGCAAGGTGAGCCAGGATGAGACGCTGCCTGGGGTCAGGAAGGCATGAGGCACAGAGCTGCACCATGAGAGGCTGTGGGAAGTGGCACCACCATGTTAGAACCCCTACAGGCCCCTGGGTCACTCGCGCCTCCCACACAACCCATCACCCCATCCTGAGCCCTGTGTCCAACTGCCAGGAGAAAGGACAGAGAACTGCAACCCATCCACACCACCGACTCCACACACGACACCAGGGAGCAGGTGGCCGGGTGAGCCTCACGCCCGTCGTGCTGCGTGAAAGACTCGGGACTCACATGTGTGTGTGATGCATGGTCCCATATGTGAAGCTCCAGGGCAGGAAAGTTGACGAGTGGTGATAAATCAGGCAGTCTCAGCCTCCGCAGATGGGACTAGCGGGAAGGATAATGGAAGTGTTGTTTGTCTGGATGGCGTGGGGGTCACAGGGATATGCATTTGTCACAATTTTAAGAAATGTACATGTACAGATGCTTTAGATTAAGAAAAAGAGAAGCCAGAATCTCTGCCAGTGGCTCACCATCTCCACGGTCTCCACCAGCTCTTGACTCCTCCTTCCGCTCCCCCAGCACGTGTCCATCCCCACAGTGGGGCTAGGAGCGCCCCCCTTGGCAGCCACATGGCCCTTCTTACAGGCAGAGCAGGGTATCTTTTATTCGTACCAACCCATCCCCTGAGTGTGAGTTTGCTGGGATGCCTGCCAGGGTCTCTGCAGGGTGACCAAGGTCCCAATCAGTCAACTCCAAGTGGAAGAGTCTCCTGGGCGGGTCAGGTCCAAGAGACATCAGAGAGTCTTCTGAACTGCCCGTGGAGCCACAGGAGGGGACTCTGGCCTGCGACAGCTAGGATCTGAACCCCACCAAGAACCAGCACATCTGAAAGAGGGCCCCAACCTCAGACGAGACGGGCCAGCACCCTGGTTCCAGAATGAGTCTGGAAGACCAGCAGAGCTGTGCCCAGACCGCTGACCACGGGGCCCATGAGATGGTCTATTTGTGTTATTTTAATCTGCTGAGCTGACAATAGTTTGTTATGTGGCTGAACTGGTTAGAAAACCGTACACCCTATCTCCACCTCTTACCCCCGATCCTTCAAAATTTTCGTTGTAATTTAACAGATGGCCCCTCCCACCAACCTCAGTGGGTGCAAGAGAAGGGGGCACCTTTTTCCCCCCATCTTCCTTCTGCAAGTCTCTTGTCAGGGCCCCTGAGACCACCCACCCATCAGGTGCAGCCTGGCTGTCAGACCCAAGCAGAGATGATGTTTGCCGAGGGCTGCCAGCAACAAGCACTTCCTCCTGTCTCTGGTGCCCTCCTGCTATTCTCCACCTCCCTCTGCAGTTTAGGTTCTCTCCAACAGGGGTTCATCCTGGGTCATCTGGGTGGGCCCGATGTCATCACAGGGTCACACTGCTTGTGGGGATTTGCTGCAGTGGCCGAGGAACACACTTTCTCCCTGAGATGCAGGATCACTTTCAGGATTGACCTGTGGCCCCATCAGATGCCCTGAACTTTCTTCTCCAGTCAAGCCTGAGAGCATCTCCCAGATGGTCCAAAATGGCACCAGGGTCAACAAATAAGAAATGGCTATGCTTGTAAGAATAAAGTTTATAACTTGACTTTGCTCCTCAAATCCTGATGGTTACTTCACTTTGGCTTCTAACTTCTTGGGATTCTTGGAAAACAACTTGGACAAAGTGCATGAGGGTTCTCAGCCTGGGGATGGGCTGAGACAGAGCTCCAAGCTCCCAGCTTTCCCCAGAGAGATGCACGTCTGGAGTGAATTGTCTCACTGACACTCAGGCATCCTGGAGTCCCAGACCCATCGCATGGGAACCTAAGTGAGAAGGAACTGCCAGTTACCTGTGGATCCACCAGTAACCTTACGGTCTGCATCTGAGAAACCCTGGAGGGTGGGAACAGGTGTGACAGAGTGGATAGGCCCCAGCATAAGGCCACGT